GCTGGTGGAGATACGCGATGCGACAAATGTAATGTTGTGGTCATAATGGTGATGATGCGGGTTAACGCGGGCATGGAACCACCGCCAGCGCAACGCTGACAGCGCCGCAGTTGTTTGGCCAGAAAGAGAGGTTGGCCAACGAGAAGCTGGCCACCAAACATATCAGGCACACCGACTACATGGGCCACTGAACGACCAAACACAAGGCCAACCGACCAGGAACAGGTTCATCAGGCAAACCGACCAGGCACACCAGCCACACCAGGCACTCTGACCAGGCACACCAGGCACACCGACCAAGCACGCCAGATGCACCGACCAGGCTGGCAAATTCGCTGGCCCAACGGGCCAGGGCGTGCTAAGATCTCCGGTAACTGGTTAACAGTATTAACAGAGCGGCGCCCGACCAACGCCCCGCCGCCCGACCGCCGCCCGACCGCCGCCCGACCAAGTCTACTCAGAGATGGTTTTCCTTCTGGGTGCGGCCTCTCAGGCTCCCCAGAGCGCGCTCAGAGTGCCCCAAGAGGCCCCCAAGACTGCCCAAGAGGCCCCCGAGACGCCCAAAGAGCGCTCGAAGACGCCGAAGATGACCCCAAGACGGCCCAAAAGGCCCCCAAGACAGCCCAAGAGGCCTCCAAGACGCCCCAAGAGCCTTCCAAGAGGCCTCCGAAGAGAGCCCCAAGAGGCCAAAATCGTTGATTTTCATTGGTTTTTTCGATGTTTTTTGTGTTCTGGCTTTTTCGGCTTCCGGACGCTCCAAGACGGCCCAAGAGGCCCCCAAGACCGCTCCAAGACGGCCCACGAAGCTCCCAAGACGGCCCCGAAACGACCCAAGAGAGCCCTCAAGACGGCCCAAGTGCCGCCCAAGACGGACCAAGAGGCCCCAAGACGGGCCCAAGAGGGACTCAGGAGGGATACCGAGAACTCAAAAATGGAGCCCTCCGTCCCAGAAGGCGCCCAGGAGGTCCCAAAGAGGCCCCAAGAGGCCTCCAAGAGGCCCCAAGATGTCGCCAAGAGGCCCCAGGAGACTCCCAGGAGGCCCAAAAGAAGCCCCAGAAGGCTTCAAACATGTCTCCCAGGCGCCCCCGAACGGCCTCTCAACAGACCCCAAGAGGCCCCCCAAAGAAGCATCTTGACGACGACTCTATTTCGCCCCATCGAGAGACGACCCCCAGGGAACTGCTTCACCATCAAAACTCCCCACGCAACGCGTCCGAACGACACCCGCCCCCAAGAGCGCAACATGGGCAACGAACACACAGACAAAAACCAGCGATGCCATATCACGGGCCGGCGGAATGAGCGAAGCGATTCAATAAACACTGTAATCGGTCAGTCGCAGACCACACTCGCAATCGTCATCTCCATGGCTATCGGCATCACCATCACGCGCTGATGGCCAACTCCAGCGGGCCCCCATCCTCGCATGCATCAGCATTATGAAAATCTCTCGGTTTTCACCAAGGGAGTTTAGTTTATGGTTTTTTTCCCTCGAAGTCAGATATCCCTTCTTCCTCTCCTCGTCCTCCTCCTCCTCCTCGTCCTCCTCCCTCTTTCCCGGCTCTGCTTTCGCCGCCTTTCTCTGTCCCGGCCGCGTGGCCGATAGCACGCCGAGGTGCGCCTGCCCAGGCTGGCGGGAGGGCCCGTGCCGCAGCCGGCGTTTTCGTGGAGCCGCCGAGTCTTGCAATTCAGGCCAGCAGGTCGCTGCCAAATGGGTCCGTGGGCATGCCGCTGTTGGCGGGCCGTTCCCCTTCTCCTTCCCCCCCTCCGTCGTCCGCCGTCGGTGCCCCTCCTTCCATCTCTCCCTCTTCCTCCGTGGAGCCGCAGAAAGTTGTTCGTGAAGCCGGCTTGGAGGGCCTTGGAGCTTGGCTTATTTTCGTGCGCGTGGCGACTGGCCTTAGTTGGCACTCCTGGCCTGCAGATCGATGACAGCTGGAGCCAGACGCGCCGACCCCGTTATAGACAGACCCATTTCAACTCTGTGCTTCGGAGTGCCATCACGCACCGAGCCCGTGACGCACCGTATCCGTGACATTTAGTTTCCGTGTCTCGGAGTGCCGTCGTGCACCGAATCCGCGACGCGCCGACTCCGTGACATTTAACTCTTGCGTTTCGGAGTGCCGTCACGCATCGAGTCCGTGACGCACCAATTCCGTGACATTTTAATTCTGTCTTGCCAAGGCGGCCGTCGTTGGCTTAGCACTGGCCCTCGCCTTTGGTGCTCCGTGTTCCTCCTCCTCCTCCTCCTCCTCCTCCCCTCCTCCTCCTCCTCCACTCCCTCCTCCTCCTCCCTCCTCCTCCTCCTCCTCCTCCTCCTCCTCCTCCCCTCCTCCCTCCTCCTCCTCCTCCTCCTCCTCCTCCTCCTCCTCCTCCTCCTCCTCCTCCTCCTCCTCCTCCTTATGGCACGCGACTGGCATCACGTCCTGGCAGGGCAGAGGAATGGCCCCGTAGGCGCCGTCCCGCTGCTGGACGCCTCGAGTGGGCGAGCGCTCGCCGTTTTGCTGTTTGTTGAGTTTCTCACCAGAAATTTGATATCAGACTTCCGGTGGAGGGGGCTCGTTTTGTCCGCCCGCCGCCTCCCCCGGGGCCGCTCTCGTCGTCGTCGTCGACGTCGTCGTCGTTGTCGTCGCCGTCGCCGTCGCCGTCGCCGTCGTCGCCGTCGCCGTCGCCGTCGTCGTCGTCGTCGTCGTCGGCGTTGTCGTCGTCGTCGGGGGGCGGTCCCTTGCCTTCTCGGGCTTGTGCCCCCCTCTGGGGGGGTGGCATTTTCGTCAGCGTCCGCGTTTCTCAGGCTTACATCAGGAGATGCGTTGTGCGGAGGCCCAGTCGGCTTCGTGCCGGCCGCGCGGCCGGTAGACTGCGTGCACGGTAGTCGCACCTCCTCCGCCTCCTCCTTCCTCCTCTCTCCCCGTCCCTCCCCGAACTCGTGGCTTCGATGCTACTGTCTGCACGGGCATTGCGCGGTGGTGCTTGCGGCCGCTGCTGGCCGACCCTGGGTCGCTTTCGCCGCCCAGGCTTGCCCTGGTGAGCCGCTGCGGAGCAGCGTCGCGTTTGGGGGGCGCACACCCGTAGGGTGCTGCGCGGGCACAAATCGCAGGTCGGCCGACGGGCCCTGCGGCGCCGCGGCGCGTGCGACGCGCGCCGCATGCAGCCCGACCGCAGCGCGCACCGCCCGCAGTCGCGTCTTTGCGCTTCTGTGTTGTTTCGCGCGGGCCTGCCGCGGTCGCTCGCGCAGGCGCGCCGCGGGGATCGCGCACTGGGCGGATCGCGGCGCGCCTTGGCGATGCTCGCTTCGCAGGTTGTCTATAATATTGATTTGGGCACCGCGCTCGTGAGGCGCTCGCGAAGCGCGGGCCCGTCGGCCGTTCTGCCATAATGTTGAAGAGAGGTTGTTTCGTTGCGGTGCGCGATGGGCGCCTTTTTCGCTTGTGTTTGTTCTCTATTCATACTTGGACGCGGGACGGCTTTCGCCTCTTCGGTACCGCCGATCCCCTTTCCTTTGGGGTCCGCTCTGGGCTCCCTGGCCGTCGCCCCGCCTGTCCCTGCCCGCGTTTCCCTGGCTTGCCCCCCCCCCCTCTTCGTCGGCCCGTCGGTCGTTGGCCCGTCGGTCGTCCCTCGTCCGTTCGTCGGTCTGTCGGTCGTCCGTCGTCCGTCTGTCTGGTGGGTTCTCGCCGTCGCCGCCGCGCCTCCCCCCCTGGGGTCGCTGCCGCCGCCGCGGTGTCGTCGTCGTCGTGGTCTTCGTCCGCGTTTCGCCCTGGCGGTCGTCGGGCGTGGCCTCGCTCGGCCCGTCGGTCGTTGGCCCGTCGGTCGTCCCTCGTCCGTTCGTCGGTCTGTCGGTCGTCCGTCGTCCGTCTGTCTGGTGGGCTCTCGCCGTCGCCGCCGCGCCTCCCCCCCTGGGGTCGCTGCCGCCGCCGCGGTGTCGTCGTCGTCGTCGTCGTGGTCTTCGTCCGCGTTTCGCCCCTGCGGTCGTCGGGCGTGGCCGCCGCCGCCGCCGCGTCGCCGCCGCCGCCGCCGCCGTCGCTGCGCCGTCGCCGTCCGCCGTCGCCGCGGCCCGCCGTCGCTGCTGCGTCGCCGCCGCTGGCGCCGCCGCTGCCGCCGCGTCGTCTCCTGGCTTCGCGCCGTCTCCTGCGTGGCCCGGCGTCGGTGGTCGCGCGCCCGTGTGTGCGTGTGTTTTTGCTTTGCTTCCCGTTCGCGGGCGTCCACGGTGCCACTGACGCACCCGCACTCGGGCGACCCGACCGAGGGCGATCCGACAGCGCGATCATAGCGCTCGTGAACAGGCGACCCGCTCGAGGGCGTCCTGTCGTTGGGCTACCCGACCAAGGGAGTCCCAACGGTGCTACTGACGCACCTGCACTCGGGCGACCCGATCGAGGGCGACCCAGAAGCGCGACCATTGCGCTCGGTTACAGGCGACCCGCCCAAGGGCGTCCTGTGGTTGGGCTACCCGACCGAGGGAGTCCCAACGGTGCTACAGACGCACCCGAACTCGGGCGACCCGATCGAGGGCGACCCGACAGCGCGACCATAGCGCTTGAGCACAGGCGACCCGCCCGAGGGCGTCCTGTTGTTGGGCTACCCGACCTAGGGAGTCCCAACGGTGCTACAGACGCACCTGCACTCGGGCGACCCGGTCGAGGGCGACCCGACAGCGCGACCATAGCGCTTATGTTCAGGCGACCCGCACGAGGGCGTCCTGTTGCTGGACTACCCGAACGAGGGAGACCCAACGGTGCCACCACCGCGCCCGCACAACGGTCCGTAGCGCCGGCTTTGCCGTCGCAAGTGCGCCCGCCCTAGCGCGGGCGACACATGTTCGCCGCCCCAAAGTCGGGCAAGTGTGGTGTCACGTGTTCGTGCATTGCCCCGTGGCGCGCGCGCTCTCGCTGGTCCTGCGCGCTCGCCCGGCTGGACGATTTCGGTCCGTAGCGGTTTCGCTCGAGCGAGTGAATTGCTTACCTTCCCGTCGTGCGCCCTCGTGGTTGGCTCCACTACCGCCTGCCATGCCCGCGCCGCTCCTCGATCTTCTCGAGTCTGGGGTGGGCAGGCACACGAAGCGCGACCGCACGTGGCTGAAGCCAGTGGTCGAGGTGCTGGCGACCAACGGCATCGAGGGCCCGGAGGACCTGGCCAAACTCAACGTCAGGGCCGCGACCTCCCAGCTCGACGGGCTGGTCGAGGGCAAGGTCGCTTTCCTCGAGCGCGCCGTCGCAAAGGCAACCCAGTCCGCCGAGCAGCAGGCAGCTGCCGAGGCCGCGGCGCCAAGCGGTTCACAGGAGCCGGCGAGCGCCCTCCTGCAGGCGCTCCAGGGCGGCCGCAAGCCAGCGGTCCACGTGGACATCGCCGCAGGCCTGGGCGGCATGACCTTGGCGGGCTTGCCAGCGTCGTGCTGGCCGTCTCCGCAACTGACCGACTGGGTGCAGGGCCAGGTCAAGGCCGCGGAAAGCAAGGGCATCACGAAGCCCCTCCTCTACATGCCGATCAAGAAATTTCCCCCGTACTACGCGGCGGACAAGAGGCAGCCCGACGACCCCGAGGGGGAGCGCGGCGTCGAGCGGTCCTTCGCGCAGGAGATCGCTCGCGGCATCTGCCGGGCGAGGGGCCCCGACAAGAAGCAGGGGGACCTGCCGAGCATCCCGCAGCGGTGCGTCGCGTTTGACAGATGGGCAATCGTCGCGGCGCTCACCGGTCAGATGCCGCCCACGGCGTCCATGGCCCACAAGGAGGTCGCGATGCAGCTCGCCCTGTCGGCGCGGGCCAGTGGGCGCGCGACCGCGATCGCCGTCCTCTACGACGAGATCGCCCGGCGCGAATGGGCAGACCTTTCAGCGGGCCTGGGCACCTTCGACGTCGCCGCGGCCGCGCAGTCGCAGAACGCGGCCACCATGCTCCGGGCGGAGCGCGAGTACGACGCCCGCGGGTTCCAGGCGGTGCACGACCGAGCTCCAGCGCAGTCGAAGGGCAAGGCAAAGGGCGCCGGCAGGGACCACAAAGGCGGCAGCGACCACAGCGCCAAGGGCGGCAAGGCCAAGGGCTACGGCAAAGAGCACAAGGGCAAGCCCGCGAACGACTCTCACCGCTGGCAGGGGCATTACTCGTCCGGGAGCAGGCGCCGGCGACGCCAAGCAAGCGCCAGAAGAGAGAGAGTGAAGGGCCGCAGCCGCCCCGCCCGACGCGGGGGCAGCACTCCCCGCGCGCCCTGCGCAGTCAGCCGCGGAGCCAGTGAGGGTCCGGGCAGGTGCAGTTCCCCCCAAAACATCTTGCGCTGATCTGAGTTGCTTCCAGTCGGCATTCGACGCTGCGAGCGCGCAAGCTCTGCGCGGCGAATCAGCGCCTGATGAGGTCGAGGCGCTGCGTTTCACGCGTGAGGCGCTCGGCCGCCGCGACGCGCAGCCGAAGCGCACGGACGCGCAGTGCGAGTGCATGGAAGCGTTGCGGTGGAGCGCCGCGCGTAGCCTACGCCAGTGCATCACAGAACGCGAGGAGCGCGTTCGGCGCATCGAAGCCCGGGCGGCGCACTTCGAGGCGTCCGGGGAGGCCGGGGCCGCGAGGAAGGCTGCGCCACCGGAATTCATGCCGCTTATCGCAGGCGTCAACATTCCACTTTTAAAGGAATTGGCGCGTGAGTCTGAGTGGCACGATGCAGAGTGCATCGACTTCTTCTCGCGAGGCGCCCCTCTGTTGGGTAACCTAGAATACAGCGGCAACGGTCGCGCGCTCAGCCCGGAAGAGCGCGCGGGCGACACTAGCGCTGAGGTAGCCCGTTCGCGTGCCAGCGCGCTCGCGTGCAACGACTTGATACTTGCATCAATTCGCGAGGATCCCCTCGCCAGCGAGCTGCTCCGCAAGACGCGGGAGGAGGCGGACTTGGGTAGGATGTCTCCGCCGCGGGCTTTTAGGCCCGACATCTCCGCGGCCGAGCTTGCCGCTGCTTGGGGCGAAACAATTCGTCTGGTGCCCAGGTTCGGGGTCTCGCAACCGAAGCCCGACGGGTCGCTGAAAGTGCGCCCGGTGGATGACTTCACGCGCTCCAGGGTGAGCGGCGCGTGCGCTCCCGCCGAGAAATTAAGCGTAGAGGGCGCGGACCAGCTGGTAGCGGTCGCGCGCGCCTTCTTCGAGTTGCACGGCGCACTTCCCGAGCTGTGGAGCGGACATAGATTCCGCTTACCGCCGCATCCCGTTGGCCCCCGCCGATAGGTGGGCCGCTGTCAGTGTTTTCAAGGAGGGCGGCCGCCTGTGGTGCTCGCAGCACCTGGTCTGCCCGTTCGGCGCGCTAGCATCTTGCCACGACTGGGACCGCGTGGCCGCCATGCTCTCGCACTTCGCAAGGCGGCTCGCCAAGCTGCCAGTTTCGCGATACGTAGACGATTATTTTGCGCCGGATCGCCCCGGCGCGGCCGACCACGCCATGCGGTGCTTCGCTCGCATCGTCAGAGCCGCGCTCGGCAGCGACGCAGTAGCCGACGCGAAGCTGGCGCACGGGGCCCAGCTGGTCGTGTTGGGGCTGCTCTTTTCTTTCTGTGCGCAGGGCGTACACTGCGAGCCAGCGTGCGACAAGCGGCTCAAGTGGTCGTCCGCCATCCGGCATGCTTTAGAGTGCGGCACGTTGCACCAGGGCGCTGCGAAGAAACTCGCGGGCGCTCTCGCATGGGCCGCGCAGCACTTGTTTAAGCGCTTGGGCAGAGCAATGCTCCGCCCACTCTTCGCGCACCAGCACAAGCGCTCCAATCGTATCGGGCGGCCTCTCGAGCTCGCGCTGCACTGGTGGGCCCAAGTGCTCGAGCTCAGGCTGCGCGAAGTGGCCAGCTGGGAGCAAGGGGACATGCCCGCGGCACGCATGTTCTGCGACGCGCGGAGCACGCCCCCTCGCGCCGCCGCCGTGGTTTTTTATAGACGGCGAAATCCTGTTTGCCGAGTGCGCACCCGACGCAGCTCTGACGCGGAATTTCAAGCACAGACGCGACGGCCGGATTATGGGCCTCGAGGTCTTGGCGGTCGCATTAGGCTTGTCGTCTTTTGAAGAGCGACTGGCAGATCGGGCGCTGGAAGTGTTCTCGGACAATTCGGGGGCCGAGAGGTCAGTGGCGCGCGCGAGCGCCCGGGACTGGGATCACACAGTCCTCGTCCACGGCGTTGGGTCTCTCGCGGCTCGCATGTCCCTGTCGATGTGGGTGCACCGCGTCCCGTCCAAAAGCAACATCTCGGACGGGCCGTCCCGCGAGGTCTACAGTCTCTTGCACCTGCTCGGCGCGCGCCAGGTGCCAGCGGCACTCGATGCGCGGTTTCGCGCAGCCGAGGCCTGAGAGGCGCTGTGGCTCTGAGCAAAAAGAGGGAGGGCTCTCATCGTCTGTCGCTTCCCTGCATCATCGGTTGCATCCGCGTGCAGGTTGGGCGCCGCGCTGGGAGCGCCGGGCGTCTTCCGCTCCGCGTCCGCGCGCTCCGCTCGCGCCCGCCCCCCCCTTCCCCCGCCCTTCCCTTCCGCCCTTCGCCCCCCCCCCACCCCCCTCCTCCTCCTCCCCGCGCCCCCCCCGGTCGTGCGCCGCCACTGCAGCCAGCGCCGGTCGCGCGGCGAGGGGGGGGCGTTCCTGCTCGGCCGCGTGTCGCGGTTCCGATCTTTTGTCGTCTGGTGGCATGGATGTGACGCGCTTGGCGCTTGGACTGCGCAGGGCGGGCGTGCCTGGCGATCCGGCCATCGCGCGCGCCGCCAGGCTCAGTCGCTCGTTTTCGCGCGCAGGCAATGATGTGGAAGTTGATCTGATTGCGAATGTACTGGTCGCGAACGGTTTCGAACACGTCGCTGACGCACGCGGCGCAAAGTGGGGGCGCGTAGCAGGTTTTGAGCGTTTCTCCGCAGACGCCCAAGCGCGCTTGCGTGAGATCGCGGCGGGAGTTCCGCGGCCGCCGAGCGGGCCGCCTCCAGCGCCGTCCCGTGTGCTGAAACAACCGGCGCTCGCGCGCGGCGGCCCGGGCGCGCTCGCGCCGGGTGCCGCGTGCGACAGCGCGGCGAAGCGAGAGCTGGCGCGCGCTTACAGGGCCGTGCGCAGCGCGCAATTGTCACCCGTGCCCACGGGCGGCCCTCGCAAGTCCATCGCGAGCGGCGCTCGCGGGCCCCCGTCGCCAGTGGCCATACAGGAAAGCCTGGCCCGCGCACGAGCTTTGGCAATCGTCGGCTCGGCGCCGCGTTCCTTCGGGCCCTGGAGGGCTGCGGTCCGGGCGCGGGTGGCTTTCGCGCAGCGTCGCCTCAACAAAGACGGCTGCAGCGCACTGCCGCGCTCGAATTTCGCAACCCGCGCACCTTCGGCAATTACGTGGCACAGCTTAAGAAGGCATGCCAGTTGTTGGGCCGGGACGCGTCGGCCTCTTCGCATCCTTCGGCGAGGGGCGCCCGCAAGGCCATCGGGAAGCGGCACCCCGTGAGGCGGCTGCTGAAGTGTTTCGTCCTGCTCTCGCACTTATCGGCTATGCTCGACTTTGTGAGTGCCGACAGCGCGATGCGCGCGCTCTTCTCGGTGTCCTGGGGGTTCGCTCTGCGCGTGCCCTCCGAGGCCCTCTTGATTGAGCGAGGCGACC